ATGGAATGAGATAGAAAGATGGATACGAAAAGGATTAGAACGAGAAAGTATTGAGAAAACAGTTAAAAAATTCACAAAAAAAATGTATGAAATGGATATAAAGAAAACAATGAATATTGGAGTTAAATATTTTGCAAGTGTGGATTATATTGTTTAGTTCAACCAAACACACCATATGAAATCATTTATGAGTATGGAAGAATAATGATGAATGAAGCAAATCCAATCATTCAAAGAAATATGAGATGTATTGTTATGAAAGTGATTGAGAGTTGTTATGAAATGAAGAAAGACACCACAGAAATACGACAAATCATCGATAGAAAAACATGTGATATGGATAAAGTTATTGAACTGGCATTGAAATATAAAGATGAAAGAACAATATTGATGATTAGAAGAAAGAAAGGAGAAATTAAAGAATGTTTTAGAAATCTTCAAAGCAGAAGTATCACATGTTTAAATGAAATAGACAAACAAAATCAAAATCAAAATGAAGAAGAAAGAAAAGAAAAGGAAGAAGAAATAACTAAAATGTATGAAGGAATTATGGAAGATCTCAAAGAAGTAAGTGAAACATTTCGATTAAGAGATATAACTAGAAATGAAGAATGTGTTGAAGTGATGAAGAAATGTAATGAAATAATGAAGAGAAGAAATGAATATTATGAAGAATACAAGAAAGTGTATCGAGAAATAGTTGAAATAGAAATTTCAAATATACCAATAAAAGAAGGAATTGAATTTTGTTGTAAAATCACAGAAGGAGTTTTATTAAGAATGGTGTTAAGTGATTTAATCAAACAAAGCCAATCGAAATTAACAATGTACAAACACTTCAAATGATTTCAAATGACAACTAAACCAAACAATACAACAACATAACAAAGAATTAAAAAAGGAAATATTACAACAAAAGAATGTGTTGTTTGTCATAAAGAAAAGGATGAATTAATCAATGTATTTGGATGTGGTCATAGTTATCATTCAACATGTTTAAAATCATCAGGAATATGTTTAGAATGTAATCATCTTATGAAATAATTAGTTTTAATCAACAACGTGATTACATTGTTGTTGTTATATCATTTGAAATGATTATTTGACAATAAATCACATTATTTATTATTATCATTTCTTGTTATCTTTTTATTCATCGTAAATCATTTCTTTTGATTAATTGATTGATTTTGATTAACAACATTCATTAGGTTGAATGGTAAGTCATTTGACCACTCTAAAAAACAAGACCAATAAGAGATAATCAGAAAATGAAGATGATAGTGAAAAGTGGATGTTTCATTCAAATTGTTTATTTATCATACTTAAAAATAGAAAAATAAAAAAATCGAATTACTATTTTTAAAATAGATTTTTTTAAATCTTAAAATTATTTTAGGTTGAAATAAAAGAACTAATAAAAAAAACTAATAAATAATAAAACAATAATGAAAATAGGATATAATGAAATAATGATAACATCAATGTACTTTAATGATATTAAAGATTTTATTAATTTAGAACTTGGAGTTAAAAGATTTCAAGGAAATATTGAACGATTTCATTTTAATCCAATTCCATTAAATGAATATTCAAGAAAATTGTTTCCTAATATTGAAACATTTCATATTTATGATGAAGATGATGAAATATTTAATGATGGAAGAATATTTAAAAAAGTAATATGGTATAGAGTAGATTATTCAACACATTTAAAAGAAAAAGAACAAGGAAATGAATGTAAAAACATAATATATACATTTGAAGATAGAGAAGAATATGGGAATGTAATACCACCAGAAGTTAAATCACTTGGATATTGGTGTTTTTGTAAATGCATATCATTGACAACAATTACTATACCAACATCAGTTAGTGAAATAGGATTTGGTTGTTTTTATGAATGTAAATCATTAAAATCAGTTACTGTACCATCACCAATTAATTTTATGGGGCGTGAATGTTTTGATAGGTGTATATCGTTAACATCGATGAATATAGATAATTTACAATTTATTAGTAAAGAAAGAATATTTATGAATGAACCAGTGTTAATTAGTATTAAAATACCATCTAATCTAAAAATAATCAATGGAAAGAATATTGAAAAGAAAGATATTAATGAATTTATTATTCCATCTTCAATTACTAAATTAGAAGATGAATGTTTTTCTGGATGTACATCACTAACATCAATTAATATACCAACAACAATTAGTGAATTAGGAGATGGTTGTTTTTGTAGATGTTCATCATTAAAATCTATAAATATACTATCATCAATTACATCATTCGGTTATGGATGTTTTTATGAATGTGGATGTGAAGAAGAATTAAAGAAGAATAAAACAATACCAGAAGATTGTTTTAAATTGTATATTGAATAAATAAAGAAATAAGATAATTGAATTGATTAAGAATAAAAAGTAATTTAATTATATATTTTAAATGATATAAAATAGATAATAAACAATTCATTTGATAATAAAATATTCAGTGAAATAATCAATTAAATGAAATGTAATAATTTCATCATTTATTTATTATTTTGTTATGTTGATTTATTTCTATTTCTTTTATTTATTATTGTATTACTTATTTCAATAATTTGTTTGAATACAATTAATTTATATTAATTATATTTGATGATGAATATTAATGATAAATGATTGTTAATTATACAATCAATTAATCATTTCATATTATGAATAAGTAATAATATTAATTCATAATTATTATATAATAATTATTATGTTAGTTCAAAATGATAATTTAGATGATTAACACATATAAGTTGGATGATGG